GTGTTCTAGACGACTTATGCTGCTGATTTCTTTTTCCAGTAGTCTGTTCTGTCCAATATTCATATTCATATGCATTCATTTGTTGATTCCTTTCTGTCATAATGACCAGATTCAGAGGAGAAAATTGTTCTAATACAGTGCTCAATCGAGAAATTTGATGTTGCAGATTTTGAACGTCTTCTTTTGTGGCTATCATACTTCATTGCCTAGCCATAGATCCACAATATCTTATAGGAAAGGCTCTAATACCACTTGAAGCAAACGGAAATGAAACAAGTCTTCTTACAACTGTAAGGGAGACTAGGAATACTCCAATCACCATTGGGGCCTGGATTTCTAAAGGTAAATCTTGGAAAAGCCTGAAGAACAGTTTATAAACTGATAATAACTTAAAATATATATTAATAAAAGACTTGAATACAAGAGTTATACAAGTCTGTCCTTCTATAATTCTACTCGTTTTGACAGTTGACATTTCCTAGAATGACTCTTAAAATTTCCACATGACATTAATAAGTCTTTACCACTTTCCAAAGTATACTTAGTGATTCCAAAGCTTGGTAAAACAAGGACTCTGACTTTCCGAGGCACCATTGATTGCCTCAATCCCGTCTAAAGTACCCTTATTGATTTGCATCAGATAGCTTTTCTCCCATGAATCCTTATTAGGCTATGATATTCTTCCAATAATACTTTTTATTCAAAGAAATTTAATTTGATTAGCAAATTGTCAAATATTGCTGTTGTGGCCCGAATTTTGTTTCAGCTTGGGTCTTGTTGTGACTCTGTTTTGACCTGAACAGTGAGTTCTGCGTGGGAATAAATTTTTTTGATACACAGGCAAGTCGTGGAACCTATTTAAATCTCTCTTTTAGCCTGGTATATAAGGGCGTTTAGTGTTTGGAGTGGGATGAGCGAAACACTGAAAGTCACACGAAAGAGAGTGAGAACGAGAGTTAGAGTTTGGGGGCTGAATCTTGTAATTTCTTGATTTTCACATAGTAAAATCTTTCAAGGCATAATTTGTGCCAAACTACATAAATCTTTATGTTCTTTGTGTGTGGCGTACTTACTTTTCTACCGTGATTCGTGATTTGTTCTTGGTTCGTTGCGTTTGTCGTTACAATTGATGTTTATCTGGTGTGTTTTCATTTATGCATCATACCTATTGCTTTTGGAACACTAATAAGCATGACATTTTTATTTGAGGCATAAGGATCTATATACATTGAGTAATACATATATAAATTATACCTGTTCTACAGTTGTGAGCCATTAAGTAATAAAATCTCTTAGACGCACTTCCCTTTTTCTACATTTCGTTTCCTTAGTATGTAAGGTGGAGTGCCATTATATGTCGGCACAAAGCCTTCTATCTTTTTGTCTTTTTTTATTTAAAAAAAATAAAAATTTATTTGACTCAATGCCATTTGTTTTGCAAACGTATATGTGATACCCTCTAATTTCGGAACACGAGTTGATCAAGTCCGCGTACAAAATCAGGGATATCAAAACAATTAAAGTATTTAAACAAGCACAGAATATAAAAAGAAATAAAAAGAATAAATAATTCGCTGAAAGAAATCTATTAAATAATAGTTCCACTCATAATTCTCTAAAATTTACAACTCGGGAATCCTGTAACTCAAAGACTTCTTAACCAAAATCTACTATCCAGAAGTTCATTATTAAATTCTAGCATCAAATGAAATAATAATAATATCCTACTTTCAAATAAACTGAAAGAATGGATAAGTCCTCCAGCTACGAATCCTCAACCTTGAGACTTGAACTTCTAATAACCTGAAAAATAAATCGTAGGTTAAACCCTACGAGCAAGTTCTCTCTACCAGTCATCTGAAAACCAATAAGTAGATCATCTCTAATCAAAACCAAACTTAATAAAGTTATAAGTTTAATAAAGATACACATATGTATAAATAATTATATACAATATAACTTTTACATCCATTAATAGATTCACTAATTTTCAAAACCATTAAACCATAATTAAAACATAATCATACCTAAACCAATCCACAATCTCCTTATCTTTTAAAGAGAAACTTTTTAACCTTAACTCCATTTTAAATAACTATTTAATTATTTAAATAATAAACCATAATCTAAGGAATAATTCCTTTAATCCAAAACCCTATAACCACTAATGAATGATTTTATTTATTTAAATAATAAAGTAAAGACTTATGCTTTAGCAATTCATCCATGCCTTTTCCAATATTATTTTATTAATATATAAAAAATAATACACTAACTTGTAAATACTCGACTATTCTAATTTAAGTATAACAAATCATAATCCAACCTATACATACAATAACCGTAGATGAAATTTTAATCATCTAATACATAGCAATTTAATTACGCTTTGGCAAATCAACCATATCATTATAAATATATTTATTTATATATTGGCAACTCAACCCTGCCTCCTTAAGTATTTTTATTTATACATTGATAATTCAACCATACCTCTACAAGTATATTTATTTATACATTGGCAAATCAACCATGCCTCCACAAGTATATTTATTTATACATTTAAATTAATCACTCATCCATGTTCCTATGTATATATTTTATTCATACAAATAAGGCAATATTTTTTTAAGCCTTTGGCAACTCACCCATGCCTACAATTCATCCATGTACCAATTTTAGACTCAACGATAGCTAATTCATACATAGACATTTCATGCAGATTATAAGCACATCACTAATTTTATAACCAGTCCATCTAGATATATCAAGTAAGAATAATAACACTAATCATCTTAATTAACGTATATATATATATATACACATATATTATATAACATATATGTGTATAATCCTTCCGTAATAATCCTTAATTATTTAAAATCACATATACATATATATCAACAATTATATATATATATATATATATATATATATATATATATATATATACACACACACACACATACACATCTATCCATATAACTCAGATAATTATATATATATATCATCCTTCCATAACCAATTATTAATTTATTATATTAGTAACAAATTAAATGCTACTAAATATGTCAGAAAGCTCATAAATACTCCATCTCGGTTTAAATAATTTTACGACACCATCTCACTAAAATGTAAATATCTCCTAGTATGATGGGAATTTGATAATAAAATTGATACAATTGGAAAGAGAACAAAAAATCCTTAAATTTGAGCTTAAGAATGACCCAATTTCGATTTAAAATGATTAAATTATGACTGTTTCAATTTTATGTCACAAACAGGCAAAATAATAGGTTGAACTCAAACGCTACTGTGAGCACGCCCACACCGGATTATATCATTGAGCTCACACAAATGCACCCACACTAGATTATCTCACTTGAGCTCACATGTATGCACCCCCACCACATTATTTCACCTGAGCTCACATGTATACACCCACATCAGATCAATCTTCTATTGACCAAACCTAATCCATAGTCCAGATTCATATGCGTACCATACTTTAATGCACCGTGATGTACTAGATTAATCCACTTTTATCAAACTCTTTCAACAGCCTAGATCAGCGTGCGCACCATCATTCTATGCGCCATCCCACACTGGATTACAACCCAATTGTTACTGCCTCTGATGTGTAAATATGTATAAATAATATATATATATATATATATATATATATATATATATATATATTTCCAATAAATATATAAAAATATATTCTAATAAATTCCCAAAAATACTAGAAAAATATCAGAAAATTCCAGAAAAAAAAAAAGAAAAATTTTAGAAATTCCGAAAACCATAAATAACCGTCTTGGGTCATAAATTAACTTATAAATTAATTTAAAATATACACAACACCTATATATTACAATTAAACCTTAAAACTCCAAAAATATTAAATAATAATAATTCATGCTTTTAACTATTCCGATTAAATCCTGATTTAATCAAATAAAATTAACTTATTGTATTTGATTAATCCATTCTAACTATGATTTAAATTAATAAATTAATTAAAACTTTGATACTCAAGGTGAAATCCTTATGAGTTCTAAGAGGAAAGTTAGAGAAGAACTCGCTTGAAGGTTTTAAAACGAAACCGACACTTTAAGCTTTGATTGTCTCTTCCAATCCCAACGTCCTCCTTCTCAGATCCGGCCTCCTCTTTGTCAGCCCTTCTTCTTCCTCTCTCTTTACCTCTCTTATTTTTCTAACGTGTAAAATCCTTAACCCTAAAGCCTTAACTGTATATTTATACACATTAAAATCCAAATCATATTCCAACTATGACTATTAAATAAAATAGTAATCTTTAAATAATATATATCTATAAACATATATCATACTATATATATATATATATATATATATACCTTCCATAATTAATCCATTGGTTAATTAAATCATATATACCTATATATATCAATATACATATATATATCTTTCCATAACAATTATTAATTAATTATATTTATATATAATTATATATATATATATATATTTATAATTAATACAAAAATGATCATTTAAATAATTAAATAACCATGGGCCTTTATTAATTAACCCAATAAGGCTTTATACAAGCCCAAGACCACATCTTTTGGTCCAACTTCCCTTAAGCCCAAATTCAATTAATTTAAATAAACCAAATAAACACTTAAATTAAAAAAAAAAAAAAAAAACTAATTACACTAAGCACATAAACAAAACAATAAATTACAACCAAGTCACACCATACCAATAAAATCAACACACCAACAATTCAATCAATAATTAAGCACACACACAACAATCATCATATCAATAATTCACGAAATAAAAATAAAATAAAACAATTAATCTAAGCACTCAATGAAACAAATTAATTAAAAATTAAAATAAACTCAATTAATTCAAATTAAATCAAATAAATTATTTAAAAATAAAATAAAAGTAATTAATTTTAATTAATAAATCATTTAAAATATCCAGGTATTATAGTATATATGCCTATGAGTCTGAAATCTGGACAAGTATGCATTGTTTGATGATATACAGTTGCATTCATCTAAAGGCTGCGGCTAATGATTGTATTTGACTTACATATATGTTCGTTATAATTATAAATAACAATAATAAATATAAGCAACAATTTGTACATAGTACTTTGATCAAATGTCAGCAAAGAACTCAAAGTGGAAAGGGTTTTATTTCAGGAGGTTCTAATGTTCAGGTTGAGCGGTTTGAGGATCTTGATGTTGACATGCATATGCAGCCAGTGAACACTGATCCATCAAAGCTGGAGTCAGTACCTGAGGTCAGTCAAGCTGCTAGAAAAACGAGTCGGTCTTCTCAGCCTCAGTTTTTAGAAATACCTAAATCACACTGTTTTCCATTTTTCAAAATATTTCTTCTGTCGTTGCATTTTACTACATTTCAAAGAATGAGTTCTTAAATTTTTTTTTTAGGTGTTTTGCTATTAATTAAATCTTTATTATTTCATTTTCACTTCTGGGTAAGACAAGCATTAGTGTCCCAACGGGAATTGCGACCTCACCTTCTCCTTAGGTAGTGGCAAGAAATGCCACTCAATTTAATGGATTTAGTAATTTTTATTCTCTCTTCTGGTGCGATTTATTCCTTAGCAAGAAACTTGCATACCCATTTGCCCCTTTGGGGACTTAAACCTTCACCTTTCACTTCGGGAGGTAGATGAGATGGTACTAGGTTACTGCCCTTGGTACTTACAGTGCGATTCATATTGAATTTCATTCTTTTTTTTTTTCTTTTTTTTTTTACTGATTTCGAACTGTTTTGGATAGGTATTTAAGAGTTGACTTTCCTTTCATAGTTATTATATGCTGATCATACAATGCGGGCTATTTCTTTCCCATAAAACTTGTTTCTCTGGAAATAGTCAATTTTTTTAGCACTTCTCATACCAATCGCCTAATCTTATGTTGGTTGTTCACCCTGAAGGGTTGAACTTGGCAGTGAAGCTGCAGATTCTTTTCCCCTTTTTGTTTTGTTGGCAGAGTGTATGTTAAACATCATCTTAGCTAACGACTGACTTTTAATAAAAATTAAATATGGATAATGGGGTTAAATACAGAATATGAGGTGTGTTTTTGTACTTACAAGGGGTACATATTTTGTGTAGGTTCAGTTGGTGGATGGTTTGTTGCTGTTGTTGGGTCTTGAAAATTATTCAACGATATTCAAATATGAGGAAGTGCGTGAATTTTAAAGCTTTCCTTTGTTTACTGCAAATTTATGTACTGGCTTTGGTTTTACCATTACCTTAAGAAATTCCTTCACTATTTTGATGGGTCATGCTTTTTCTGCAGATTGATATGGCCACTCTGGTATGCTTAATTGATGATGATCTCGAGGCTTTAGGATTACCAGAGGTAAATTCAACTAGGCTAACTCTATTATATGTAGCGTTTTTATTCTATTTTATTTTAAAAATTTTATAAGTACTATATGTAGTTTTTCTCTGTTTACCATTGCACCTTTAGAAACTTTGTCTTGGCTGATTGAGGGCTTGCAGAAATAAGAATTTAGTGTAAAGTACCCTCCAGAGGATTTTCGAAATTTTCTTTAGAAGAAACTAGTTGAAAAATTGTGGTCGACCTCCGTTGAGGTTTTACAACATCACCTTAACCACCCGTTGTCAATCAACTAAGTCATCCAAAGGGGTTTATTTTAAGTTCCAAAAATACCCTTATATGAAGTAAAATTATAAAAATGACCTTATTAACTTTACGAAATGAAAATTTAACTAAATCACACACGTCTACATATATATCAAAAGAAGAAGTTTTGGGTTTTGGCTTACTCAAACCGAGAGCCAAGAGCTATATTTATATACAAGGATAGGGTACAAAGAAAAGAAACCAAATCAAAGAAAAATGGGAAATATGCCAAAATCTACGTGATCCCTTGATTATGGGGATCTTATCAACGTGATCTTATGATTACAGGGATCTTATCTACGTGATCCCGTGATAATAGGGATCTTACATAAAACACCTAATAAAAGGCTGAAAATAGCTAATAAATAAATAATAATAACAATACAGATATTTCAACACTCCCCTAGGCTAGCTTGGTAATCGAGGAATGAAACAAAGATGGACCAATGGATTTGGTGAACACATCTACTGACTGATTAGAGGACCGAATAGAGCACGACTTGATAATTCTTGAACGAACCTTCTCTCCCATAAAATGAATGTCTACCTATATATGCTTAGTCCTTTCATGAAGAACAAAATCTGAAGCAAGTATGATGGATGACTTATTATCACAAAACAAGTCTGGGGACTGTTTTTCACGTAGCCCTAGCTCCTCCAAGAAAGATCGAAGCTAGAGAACGTCACAAGTACCCTGGGCCATGGCACGATACTTAGTCTCTGCTGAAGATCTCAAAACTACAGGTTGCTTCTTACTTTTCCAGGATATAAGATGATCTCTATAGAAAGTACAGAAGCCAGATGTGGAATGTCTATCAGTTTTGGACCTAACATAGTCTGCATCACTAGAACAGAATAGCCCAACCTCTTTGCTAGAAGAATAGAATAATCCAAGTCTAGGACAGGACTTAAGAAAATGAAGAATATGATATACCGCATCCATATGAGTTGTACGAGGAGTATGCATAAACTGACTCACATACTAACCACAAAAGTCAAATCAAGATGGGCGTTGGTAAGATAAATCAATCTTCCTACCAAGTGCTGTTACTGCGAGGGATCAAAAAGGAGATCTCTAGACTTAGTCAAAATCTTCAGATTAGGATCCATAGGAGTGGAAGCAGGTCTACACCCAAGCAAACCTGTGTCTCGAAGTAGATCCAAGACATACATCATTTGCGATAAAGAGACACCCTTCTTAGATTTAGCAACCTCAATTCCCAAGAAATATCTTAGATGCCCAATGTCTTTCACATTAAAAGCTTTAGCCAATTGTACTTTACTTGAGTAATCCCAAGGATAACATTGCCAATAATGATGATATCATCAACATAGACAAGAAGAATGATACATCAGCCAGTGGAGTGGAGGAAAGGTGGATAAAACATGTATGGTTTGAATGACATCTAACAAACTACATGGATAGAATTACATCATTGAAGCGGCTGAACCAATCTCTAGGAGATTGTTTTAAACCATGCAAAGACTTCCGCAATCAACAAACCTTTCCAGCATACTCCCCCTCAGCCCGAAAACTAGGTAGATGATCCATATAAATAGTCTCAAGAAGATCACCATTAAGGAAAGTATTCTTCACATCAAGCTGATGAAGAGGCCAATTGTGAGAAGCAGCTAGGGAGGCAAGAAAATGAACTAAGGTCAATTTAGCCATTGGAGCAAAGGTATCATTAAAGTCTTTACCAGGAATCTGAGTAAATCCTTTGGCCACCAAACGGACCCTATACCGATTAATACAACCATCAATCAAATATTTAATACTGAATACCCATTTGCACCCAACAGTTTTCTCACCAGGAGGGAGAGATACAAGTTCATATGTTTCATTTTGCTGTAAAACATACATTTCTACCATCACAGCAGACATCTAATTGGGATTCCGGAGAGCCTCAGACACATTGCTGGGGATTGAAATAGAATCAAGTTTGCCTAGAAAGGGTTTGTAAGACTCTGTAAGACCATCATAAGAGATATACTGCGAAATAGGATGATCAGTACTACAAGCGAATCCAAATCGAGCAGGGGGTTTGTGGTCTCGAGTGGGATACTGAAACTTAGGAACAGGGTAAGGGAAATGTAAAGGAGAGAGAGGAGATGTACCTGAACCTGAATCTGAGGAGGATGGAGGTAGTAGAGGCAGAGCACGAGGGCGGCGAGAATAGACCTGCAAAGGGGGTGAGGAAACCACAAGAGAAGACTCTTCTTAAAAAATAGGAAAAAGACAAGCAAGAGGGAAGTCTTTTGATCAGAAGTAGAAGATAATGTTAGAACCATAAAAGGGGTATGTCCATGAAAGGGGCACTTGTAAAGGGGTTTTACCATTTAATACTCTACTAGGGGTACGATTAATGAGAAAAGTAGTTGTAAGCATCGCTATGTGCCAGTATGACTTTGGCACATTCATACCACTTAAAAGACATCGAACAACTCACATTATTTTGCATTTCTTCGCTCTGCCACGCTATTCTTTCCGGGGGTCTATGGACAAGTAAGTTGATGAAGATTACCCTGTTGCTTAAGTTGAGACCGAAACTCATTGGAAACATATTCATAACCATTGTCAGACCTAATATTCGTAACAACATTTTTATATTGAGTTTTGATCATTTGAGGAATTGAGTGAATAAGGGAAAAACTTCAGATTTCTTTTTAAGTAATATATCCATGTGGAGCAGGAATAATCATCAATGAATGTGACATAATAACGATGCCCCGAAAAAGCAATAACAGGATAAGGACCCCACACATCATAATGTATGAGATCAAACATACTGGGTGCACGATGCATATGAGAAATATAATTGGTTTTAGTATTTTTAAAAAGTTCACAAATCTCACATCGAAACTTATTATCCTTACAAGCTGTTATCAATAAAAGAAAAAGAAGACATAAATACTGAAAGTTTACATGCCCAAGGCGAGCATGCCATAAATTTAAAGTCTGAAAAGAAAAATCATAAGACCTAGAAACTGGAAGAACAGAGACTTGAAGGCTTGAAGCAAGTGGAGGAGGTGTCGATGAAGGATCCCTAAAGTAGTAGAGGCCATCATGGTCATATCCCCTACCAAAAATCCTCTTTGAACACAGGTCCTGTAAAACACAGTAATAAGGAAAGAAAATCATTGCACCGTTGAGTGATTTGTCAAGTTTGCTAACAGATAGAAGATTAAATGCAAAGTTAGGAACATGAAGAACATATAGCAAAATAATATCAGGGGATAGATGAACATCTCCTTTACTACGAATAATGGTTGTTGACCCATCGGCTGGACTAATAGCCTGATTTACAGGGGGTAACGGGAGTAGAAAATAATGACAACTCACCAGTCATGATCATTTGTTTTGGAATCCAAACCCTAAGTAGGTTTTCCCACTTTAACATGAAAAATAGAAGGAGTACCTGTAGCTATAGTAGCCGTGGGAGTAGAAGGGTCAACCCTGGTAGATAAATCTTCGAACTGCTTCTCAAGCTGACCAATATGGGACTGTAACTGATTGAAGTCTTAAAAATGTGGTCTCAGAAGAGTTGAAACAAGACGGTCAACAATTTGTGGAGTTGTGTACCCACAAATAGTATCGGCTACTGTGGCAGTGCGGCCACGGCTAGAAGGATGATAGCGAGAAAATTTATGCTTTAGCTCGGGATATAGCTTAAAGCAACGATCCTTTACATGACCCGTGGCTCCACATTGTTGACAAATAACCTTTCCCTCTGAAAGTCTAGAATTAGCAGTAAGAGCCATTTGATCAACTAGAGTGTATGGTAAAGCTACTGGTTGAGAGATCTGACGTCTATACTCCTCATGGTCAACAGTAGCGAAAACATTATATAAATCAGGCATAGGAGAGGTGTTTATGATTTGAGTTCTAAGAGCATCATACTCAGATCATAAACCCATCAAAAACTGGTAGGTATGCTGGTGGTCCACTTTCTTGACCAAAAGAGTTGCAGCTTCTTCAGAGAAATTGGAGAGAGGTTCATAGTGTGCTAATTCTTCCCACCTAGACTGGAGGTACCGAAAATACTCTGATATTGATAGCTTGAGTGTCTTCAAAGATGCATGAGCAATCTCCTGATAGAGTTCAAAGATACGAGCGTCATTGCGGGAATGGGAATACAACATGTTAAGGGCTTGCCACAGATGAAAAATGGAAGTGTGAAACATGAACATATTATAGATATACTCCTCCATTGAGTTGAAGATCTAACCCAGAATGGTGCACTTGTTCAATGGTGCAATATATTTAGTATATGTCTTTTCCAGTTATTTGACTAGACCCAAAAGCCAACCAGTTTTCCTTTTTCCTTCAATATAGAGTTAAAGAGAACAGGAACAAGATACGAAGTTGCGCCCATTTAAGAGCACACTAGTAACCCGCTATGTCGGAGTATGATGTGCCGAAGATAAAGTATGATGGACCAAGGATAAAATGTCTTTTTGCCTACTAGAATCAGTTATAATACCAAAATAAGGCTGTTCCACACGTCAAAGCAGGAGGAAAGAGAAAAAACAAGGCTAGAAAAATCGGCGCTTTCCTCCAAATATGCTACCGAACTCACACTGGCAGCCCATAAAGAAAAAAAACACCAGAACTTAGGTCATAAAATACCTAACGGAATTCTCCTAAAAAAGGAGTAAAAAACAAAGGGTTACTTGAGGGGTTCGGCGCACGGGTTGGGAGGAGATGGGGG